GAGAGAGAGAGAGAGAGAGAGAGAGAGAGAGAGAGAGAGAGAGAGAGAGAGAAAGGTCCGTGTCCATCTCTGTCTGGTGCTGATTGGCTCTTATTGATTCTGTCTGCGTCTCTGTCTGTGTCAGGAGGAACGAAGAAGAGAGATGTGAGAGGGATATATGATACAAGATTCAATCCCATGTATCGTCTGGAGGGATGTTCAGTTTGCAACAGACAACAGCGCAAAACATACAAAACACTTGATAACATGTAACACATGCTACATCAGCAGCAATGTTTCATTATCATTTGAGGACTACTGGCAAGATGATATGCCATGTAAAGTGTGTTAGAAAAGATCCATGCAGTGGACTATAGCATCATATAGTGTATCTACATTACTGTAACACTTAATGTCAAAGAGGAGTTTTATTGCACGAGGCAGGGAGTGGGCACTGCTCCGCCAATCCAAATAGAGCTGGTATTTCTAGAGTTTCTCGCAGTGGCAGATAATGAAAGGTGTTAAAGGAAAGGAAAAATAACTTTCAACATTTAGTGCTGCATGGAAAGGAACAAAAAAAAAACTTGAAAAAGACCCAACAATACCACTGGTGTGAGACAGAGGCTACCAATCATCTTGACCAAGGTCTCATTCTTTATGGTAATTATACCAAAGTATGAAAATACATTTTACAGTATTATATAAATATTGAAAATGCTTTCTGTACCACGGCAGAGAGAGAGAGAGAGCGAGACAGATGCTGGTGTAATTGGATGAATTAAAGGAGAGAGAGAAAGAAGATGGAGAGAGGAAGGAGGAGAAATGAGGGTTTATTGCTTTTTAATTTACTCACCATTCTTCTTCCTTTGTATTTCAATCAGGGATTTGTTTTTTAAGCATTTGACGTCTGGCTTCGTGGTTTTGGCTCTTGCTCTGTTCTTTTGTCTCTGCGGATAGAGACAAGGTCACAGGAAGAGGAGATGCTGGTAGCCTCACTGCCTCTGACGATAATATGCAACCAGCTTCATAACAAATTTGACTTTAGGATGAACCACGATGTCATATTATAAATCCTGCAAGTAGCTGCAGGAGAAGAATATTGAAGCCACAATTTACTACTTCAAGGGCAAGATTGTTACTGCATCAGGCATTTCAATCATGATTCATATAAACCCTTTTTGTATGCATAGTTTCAGGATTTGTACCCAGAGGAAAATGTGCATGTATTTCAGATTGATTTTGTCTCATTCTGCAACATTCTACTTGTTTGTCATAAGTAGACACACTGGCATGCTGCATTGGTTTCCTCTGAACATGTGAGTTGAGTCAGGCTTTTAATAAGTTTCCTTCTCTTATAACATTCAGTGGAGGAATAATGATGGGAGGAGTGTAGTCTTTGCACGGTGGTAACAGTTTAATGCAAGGTGTTAAACTGTTAATGGCCTGCTATACTCCAAAACGGACAGCGGACACCCATATGGTTCTGTTTATTCTAGGTTTGGTTCACGTTTGTCGACACGCGTGGTCCACGCATACAGTCTGCTCGGTCGTACATTTTGGGCTGCAAGCAGACGGTCTGCGTCGACTCTGCAGTCGGTAGGTACCATGTGGAGGCGAAAAGTAGTATAATTTGTGATTAAGTTGGACAGGACAATAGTTTCTTTGCCATCGAACATGGTGTCAGCATTCACAGGTTTTTGAGCATTGCACTTGAACAGTGACGCTGCTACTGTTGTAATGTGATGACAAATTCAGCAGTTTCAGTTTGCACATGAGATCTACTGTTATGCCTCTGCTGTCACATGTATTCATAGAAACTTACTTTCTTCCACACGTGCTGCAGCATAGTCAGATTTTAAAAGCTACGCTAAGTTCATCTCCATGTGTGGAGGTTATTCAGTTGTGTAGCATTGTGTTGGTGAATGTGAACTCTGTATCCTGTCCTACCTGATCTTTGATAAACTGATGCATACAAACAGCTTCATTATAGTAATAATGTGATGCTGTAGGGAATCCTGTAGGTGAGCACAGGGTCAGCTACGTGGAGCTGGTAGAGACCGTCACCTGCTCAAGGAGACTTCAGCGGATATATGCCAAAAGGTCATCTGGGTAGCAAGACATTCTGGTTGACCAAAACAACAACCTTTCACTCCGTATAGATTGTTGTATTTTGTTGCATTTGTCCACTTTCCATTTATTCCCACGAATGGTGGTTTGCAATCTGGGTGGGTATATGAGTAGAAACCACATGACTTATCCCAAATATGACCGTAACTGGAATATGTGCTAGTGTTCACAATACATGACGCATTGTGGAAAGGCAAGAGGAGGACAAGGGGAAGGGATTGTTAGAGTGGAAGGAATGAACGAATGAAATGATGGGGTTAATCTAATTACCTGGCACAGATGGGGAGGGGCGGAGACTGGGTTGAAAAGGTTGAGTAGGAGAGAGAAGAGGACAGTCGGAGGGACGTCTGGATGCATAGAAAGACAGATTGATCTGCTGAGAGGCTGAGAGGCAGACATAGATAGAGAGATAGACAGATGGATAGACTGATGCTCGGCGGAAGGCAGGCGCGAAATAGCAGACAACAGGACAAAGAGATAACTGGGTGGAATAAGTTGCCCGCCAGAGGAGGAAGAGGGAGGGATAAAACAGACGGATAGAAACAGGCGAGAAAAAAAAAGCCCATGAGACAAGGTTGAATTGGAGGATGGATGAAAGAGGAGTGAGGGATGACAAGAGGGATGGAGTGAAAGAGGGGGAAGAGCAGAGGGGAAAAGTAAACCACAGAGTGAGTCAGGGAATTATCCTTGTCTGGTGGTGTTAACTTGACACGGGCCACGCCTGAGAGGGAGACAGGCAGCCAGGCAGAGTGCAAGAAAAACTGACAGAAGCAGAGAAATAAAGTGTAAAAGAGAGACAGGTGAAGACAGAAAAGGACAAAGAAAGTGTACAGTAGCAGAAAGGAAAGATTGAGCGATAAAGAAAGCCTTAAACTGGAAGACACAAATGGAGACAAGAGAGCATAACGGGAAACATGAGAAGGTCCACAAGAGGAGGCAGAGAAAAATGAAGATTGGAAGTGAGAGAAAGAAACCGTGATCCATAGAACCAAATCATGTCTGAGCACAATGCTAAGCACTAAGTAAACACCGTCTGTGTTATGTTTAGCATTAGCGATCTGGAAGGAGACGAGGCCCAGCTCCAGGCCTGGGGCTCATTATACCACAAGCCTCTATGCATTCTTTTGTATGTGCCATCTTTGGATTGCATTAGTCTGAGTATTGCAAATGGACTATCTTATCTGCCCTAATTTGGAAATATATTGTAAACTGACTCAAACCGCATGGCCAGGCAGACACAGCAGGACGTCCTGCCACCATTCAACTGACACTGTCCAGGATGGTGTAACTATTTAACCACCACAGTCTGAGCACAGCAATTCTGGCAGATCCCGAACACGGCTCTGTTCGTACAGTTACTGCGGTTGTACAACTAAGGGCCAGGTATCGACGCCAGTCCCTGGGATGTTTCTGAGCGATCCCTGGGTTGGTTATCTTGTAACCAGAGAGCCAGGAACAGCATCATGTTCAAGCCAGTTTTTCACAACGAGCTGGAATGTAGCAGTGGTGGCCAGACCATGCAACTAATCCTGGTAATATGGTTAATTAGTTACCTCAGTTTTGAAAGTTAAAAATAGGAGAAGGCGTACAAGTCCTTCACTGCTCTCATTAGCAACAGATGAGAGTGGTTATGCATGCCCGGTGTTAAATGAACATGTCTGTAGGGGAGAGAGAGTGTGTGTGTTTGTTGTGTATTAATGTGTTGCCCTTTACTAATGACGCACTAATCTCCCATCGGGTCAAAGAGATCACATCTACTGTTATTCATCAGCGAGCAACAGAGGGTGGGATGGTTACATGAAAGGAGAAATGGATGACACAGAAGGGTAGAGGCAGTGGAAGTGATTGGTGGATGCATGAGTGGATGAAAAAAGAAGACGGGAAAAGACAGAAGTAGGGCGAGGAGGGATGATGGTGGATGGTTGGACAGAAGAAGAAGAGAAAGAGGGCCAGTGAGGGATTATGTGCTGAAAAAGAGGACCTGTCGAGATACCAGCGCTAAAAGGGTTTGGGGATCTGAGGGAACCCCTACATGCCCTCAAAGGAGACAAAGTTCACAGTGCACACTGTATAGCCAATCTCCATACACACTAACAAATGAACCTAGTTCCTCCTGATGTTTTGGCATCCAAAATAAATAAGATACGATGTGTGTATTGATACATACTTGGACTGTCACACTCATACAATTTGTACATAGGTTTTAATAAGAAACAGGTCATAGAAATGATTGTATGCCCAGATTTAGATGAGTCTAAGTGACCTAATCTCTGACCTGAATCTGGCTCTTAAAAACCGCCGGGCTAAACAGATGATCCTTTAACATTATAGGTTTAAAACGCTCAGAGGCAATTCAAACGTTCTAATACTGAAACCTTATAGGCCTGAAACAACAAGCAGTCCTTCCTGGCGGTCGGCATCAAAACCCTACGAATCCGCTCCTGAAAAGTACAAATTTCATCTGAACCGGCCGGCCTGCTTTTTAATGAAAGCTGAAAAAAAGAAGGAAAACAGTGAAGGAGCTCGTCGTTCAGCAGCTGCCGTCTCAGCAATGACTAATTGAGGTTACCACGGCAATATGAGACTGGGACGTCTGTCTGCTGAACGTCATTTTAATCAGATTTGGCTGCTAAAAACACACACACACAGACACACATGCTCATACATACACACATGGAATCATGCAGACACATGCAGACTCACAAACATGCACATACATACAAAACTGACTCTAACATACAGACACACTAAAGACTGCAAATGCATGTGCACACATACAGCCAGACAAACACACACTTATAGACATATTAATGTACAGAAACAAACACACGCACCGCAAATGTGGTTCAGAAACACTGTAAGTAAATGATAGTGGTGCCTAATTAGATTTAACAGTGTAAGTGGATCTGCGTGGTTGCTTTCTTAAGTTTTTTTCTTTTTTTTCAGTTTGAGATATAGTCAGAAACCTGTAATTACTGCTGGGTTTGCATTTGATTCAGTTATATTAAAAACAAGCCAGTTTGGGGATTTTAGGAAGTTCTTTTCTTTTTGTGTGAAGTTTATTTGTGTGTGTGTATGCGCTCATTCAGGGTGTATTTGATTCTGGACTGACAGGAAGTTGATGTCCCTTGTGGGTTAGGGTGAAACACGATGAGAGAAAGAGAGAGAGGCTGTTGAAATCTGCTATACGGCGGTGTTTGTTTTTTATTGAATTCCATAATGGGCTGCCTTTTCACTAACACACACGCCAAAACAGCCGACTTCAAAGAACCTGAAATGCACACTTAAGTATGCGCTCATACACACACACACGCACACACACACACACACACACACTGATACATATTGATCAAAATAGTACAAATGCTTAAACATGGTGTTAACTAAGATAATATGCATTCAGATATTTGTGTATTTGTAATAGATACAATCACACACAAACACGTCTCAGTGAGGTTCTGGAAAACATCAACTTGACAAAACACTGATGAAGCCTGCAAACACACACACACACACACACACACACACACACACACTCCCTGCAGGTCTATAGGCAACTACTCTGAGGGGGAAGGTTTGACCATCAGTCATCTACTGCCACCCGGTGGATATTTGGTGTCACTGTAGGTTCACAGCTCAGAGAGTGTGTGTAAAATATGCCAAAATGAGTGTGTGAGGTTCAAACTGGAGCTCAAGATCATTATGAGAATGTCCTCAGCGGTGTGAGCTGCTTGTTTGATTTAACTTTCCAGACTCTTGGATACATTTTAAAAAAGGATGGAGTGCTTCTAGAATATAAGTGCAGGAGCCTTAGAGAAGTAAAGCGGGTAGAAAGGACTGTTGTTAAGGAAGGAAAGGAGGGCTGAGCACAAGAAAGAGAGGAAGAGGTGATACCAGGAGAAACCAGGGAGGAAGAAGAAGATGAGGGAGGGGAGAAAGAGAGGAAAGAAGAGGATGATAGGACATGAAGTAGAGAAAAGGCAGAGCGAGAGAGAAAATACAAATTGAGGATAGGATAGAGAGAAGGGAGACCATCATTTTGACCATGATTAAATTACACGGCTTCTAATGGAAACCATGTTTGTGTCTGTGTTGGGTCTGCAGTGAAGTAAGAGCTCTTATTTTAGAAACCGCCAGCTCAATGCTGAACCAGATCGATGTCCAGAAGAACAGGGTTGTTGTTTTTTTGCAAAAATGGTTGCGTAAAATTTCAGATTTGCATTTTCTGTTCATGAAGTAATCTGATTTTAAACTTTTATCTTATTAAATGTTGTATTACAAGTCAAACAAGGACAAAGTACAAATGAGAGAATGTAAATCAGTTAGTAATTAATAATAACACCATGATTCTTACCTATTGAAGTGTCCTTGCGTATGTTGAAATGTAGGGGGCATGATTTTTCTGTGTTCATTTTTATTCTTTTTTTCAGGCCATTTCCTAATTTTCTTTTTCAATGTGTCTTCTTCCTCTCCACCCTGTTCTTATTCTACTTCTTTAAGCTTTGCCTCCAGCTAATGTTGCTGCATCTGCTCCGTTCCCTGTGTTTCTCCTTTTGTATGATCAGCATTTTCTGTGGAAGTCCCACTGGCCCACCTCCAGAACTCACAACCCTGCACCATTGGCTGTTAATGTAACATCACTGTAATCTGAAGGCTCTATAAACAGCCGTCAATCGGAGCTCACTTGAGGCTCCTTAGCTAGTTAGCCGATGAATGGCTGCAGACAAAGAGATGTATTGTCTTGATGTTTAGCTGTGGGAGTCTGAAGCAGACCACCAACGGAAAGAGTGGCTTCACTTGTTCTTTTTGGGGGGGTTTTTATGTTCTGCTGGTTTTCTCCGGGTTCAGGGAAGGAATAACTTGGGTGAACGGAGGCACAGTCCGCTTTACCAGCCCACCATCTACCTCTCTCCGTCTCTCACTCCCGCTCTCTCTCCCTCTCTTTCGGCTGTGCCAAACCACTGTCTCTATAGCTGTCTGTCTCCCCTCCAGCGAAAAACCACTTAGTGGGGAATCTTAAAGACACACATTATCACAAAGACACACACACACACACACACACTTTCTTCCCAGGGTCAGACATGGTGCGAAAGGTCATGATGAGGCTCCTCTTCGGTGGAAACATTTATTTCACCCAAAAAATATCAGCGCTGTAGTAAGAGAGCCTCTTTCTTTAACATTAATGTTTTAAGTGGTTGAGTCCGGCCATATACGCAAGACTGTGTGCTTCTAGGCTCATTCTGGGCCACCACCCCCATGTTAAGAAACCATGGCCTAGATCGAGAGCACAACATAATCTATTTTAAAAGAGCTCTGCAACGAGGATGTATTCAGTCTGTTTTATGTCTGAGAATAACATTTCAACATAGATTTCCCTCATTTCTTTTTCATTTGGTTTGGTTAATTTGCAAACACAACAAAACAAAGAAAAGAAATGTTTGACTTGAACATGTTTGGAGTCTGTTTTGTCTCCGGCATTTCCAGTTTGCTCTATCGTGTTTTTTCCTCTCTAATTCTCCTGTCTGGTGTAGAATTCAACAGTAATTTATCATAATAGGAACCATACTGAAAATCCCACCTTCCCTTTTTTCCTCTGTGTTTGTGTGTTACAGCGTTGAGTCGGTGAATGACGGGCTCTTCCACGCGGTTGAGCTTTTGATTCAGAACCGTTCACTGAGCCTGGTGGTGGATAACGGGGCCCCCAAGAGCCTGGGCAAGCTGGCACGCCAGCCCTCCGTCGACCACAACACCCAACTTTACATAGGAGGTACGCACACCCATTTATACATACGACTACACACTCTGAAGGACACATGTTCTGAACATACAGATGTTACTTTTCCCCGCCCTTTACTGCCTTTTTGTGGTTGTGATCGCATGTTTGCCATGCATGGGTACATACAAATACACCCACAACATACAAATACGCACACACATACTAAGTCCCAGCAAGGGATGTGGTGAAGAGATGGAGAACTGTTTTTGTTCAACTTTCCCTAGAAAAAAAGGGCAATACATGTCCCTGAGAACAGTCAGCCTTTTTTCTCAAGTACTAGAAAGAAACATAATGTTGTTGTGCAAAAGTGAGAGTTATTACGCCGTATTCTCGCCTGAAAGATTGTATTTTACTGTAAGAGTCGATCAAGAATGAAACCAGAGATAAGTGAAGTGTATTAATCGAGCAATCTGCCTTTAAATTGGCTTTCTCTTTTCCCTGTTTCCCTTATTTTCATACCAATTTTTATCCCATTTCTCTTTTTTCACATTTTTCTATTTCTATAACTTCCTGTCTTCTCTTCCGTTTCCCAGGAGTACCATCTCAGGTGGTGGCCTCAGGTCTGCGACCCGGCCCTGAACGTTCCCCTCAGACTTTTAACGGATGCATCCACAATGTCCGGATCAACGGGGAGCCTCAAGACCTGAGCTACAGAGCGGCAGGAGGAGCACGACTGCAAGGCGTCGAGGGCAAGGTAATTACATGGGGAGGGTTCTTTTTTCTCAAAAAAGCGGTATTATGTATCTGAGCCTGGCTTTAAAGGAGTTTTGCAGCAGCCTTTAGAGCCATATTGAGAAATATATTCTAACCTCTTTTGGTGCTGTGTCTTGTCAGAACCGTCAACTGTGTGTCTTATAAGTAATATCAGCAAACAAAGTTATGTTGCGCAAGAGAAAGCAGACATGCAGCAGAAATGTCTGATATAAAATCTGATGACAATAATGCTGCTTCTTTATGCTCAAAATCAGTCAAAACAAAGGACTACATTTTCATAATATAAGCGACAGTAGAAACCATTTTGACTGATATAATAAAGATTACACTTGAAGGTCACATTTGAATTGCAGCTGTAAGAGAAAAGAACAGTTGTTGTCTCTCACTTCCAAAGAGGATTAAGACTGTAGCAGTAGGTTACACCCCCTCTGCTCACTTCTATTAGCAGTAAAAGGCCCCGTGACTCAGCTTAAGATGACAGTATTTTCTCCCCGTCTTTTTCTGCCACCAGGCCGAGGGCATTCTCGCGGGGTGTCATTCCTGCAGTGTGTGCGCTCAGGGTGCGTGCAGGGAGGGCGGAGAGACGGGGGTAACGTGCGATTGTCCTCCGGGACGCAGCGGGGCCCTTTGTGACCAGACGACAGTACCGAGCGCCTGTCAGAACAGCAGGTAAGCCGAGACAGCAGAAACGGGTGTACGTAAATGTTCAGAAAGACATAAGTGCTGTGTGAACTTATTCCTGCTGCTGCAGTAGTTGCACATTTACACTGCAAACAAAGACATTAATGACATCTGCCCCAACATGACCCACTTCTTCTAACCTGTCTGCCTTCTTCCCTTCCTCTCACCTCCAGATGCGTTCATGGTCTGTGTGTGCCGAAGGGTCAGTCCTACAGTTGCCAGTGCATTGAAGGCTACCAGGGTCAGTACTGTGAACGACGGCAGGAGCCTCCAGCCTGCAGGGGGCAGCGCTGCGGACACGGGGAGTGTCACGTGTCAGAGGCAGGAGAGCCCGTATGCCACTGTCAACCGGGGTACGCCGGGCCTACCTGTGACACAGGTAAAATAGAAAAATAATAGAAGATATGGAGAGCATGCCATGATTTGACAAATATCAGTACATAGCCTGTAATGTGTGTGTTTTATGTCCTTTCTCCGTTAATGTCCAGAGCTTACATGTCAAGGAGAGATGGTGAGGGAGGTGCTTAAGCGCCACCACCCGATGAAAACATGCACGTCCACCACCAAGATTCCTCGGATGGATTGTCCCCGATCCTGCCAGGTGGCAGCACCCCAAGGTGTTTGCTGCGGCGTCACCAAGACCAGGAGGAGGAAGGCGGTTTTCCGCTGCAGCGACGGCACCTCGTACTCCGAGGAGATGGAAACTGCTCTGGAGTGCGGCTGCTCCAAGTGCCCGTTGTAACAGCACCGTTTGTTAGTTTGTTTTGCAACACCCACCGCTGCCATTTTGTGAATTCTACACGTCTACGAGGCTGTCGCTCTGAGATGTTTTCCACATCGATGAGCACCATCATTATGTGATTGTTTTTTTTTTTTTACACATTCAGTTTGACCGCTGCCAATTTGCCGCCGAGAGAAACCACAAACGGAAAACAAAAATGGGACATGTGTGTGTGTGTGTGTTTTTTGACAGAGAGAAAATATATTGTAAGATATAAGTAAGAAAAAAAAACATAGAACTTATTTTTATTATGGATTTTTTTTTCTAAAAGATGATAAAAGGACTGATGAGTTGTGTTTTTTTTTATGTGTTGATTATATAATGTGTTACATAGTATGGAAAGTTATTTTGTACCTTGTAAGGAGGAAAAATACACAGCAAAATAGATTAACATTCCTTAAAATTATATGAATTTATATGTTTGTATAAATCTATATAAATATATACCCTAACCCAACGAATTCTATATTTTCAAAGTGTATTTGCATGATAATGTGAGCGCTGATGTGTGGGAGGCTTTGGACACAGAGAGGAGGGCTGAGAGAGAAGAGCTCCCTTGATTCCACAACAAGGAAAAGGTGTCGGCCTTTTGATGGCCTCCCTCTTGGAGAGAAAAAGGGAACTGTATGTGCCTAGCTAACCTGCTTCACTATATAATGGACATCATCCTCACATGTGAGTTCTTTGAGAAACCATAAAAGACTTTCCACAGAGATGTATAACACATTGTTCTATGTTGTGTTATTCTTTAGTTTGCTGTTGCACACCAGACTTGGAGCCACTTGAGGTTTGACATGAAGACATTTTCTATTCATTAGGAATTAAATATAAGTGAGGAATTCTCATTCAAATAAACAAGAGTGAAATCATACTGTAAATTTAGCATCATGCTGAGTCTATGCCTATTAGCTGCTGAGATTTAAAATCAGTTTTAGAACAGATACAACGGAAATCCCCTGATCATAGCAGGACACAGGAAGCCATTTTTAATCAAACCACCCTTTCTTCAGAGAGTAGCTTGATGCTGAGGAGAAGTGTTTCACTGCCTCCTGTGGTTGAACGTTTCAGGTGTGCAGCACTGCTGGGTGTAGTTGTTTGTGGTCAGAAGTATGCTCTGTTGCACCTGTAACCACCTCCAACTGTGATGTCACAGTGTACCCAGTGGTACATTTCTACATCACTGCAGGAAGGCGAGATGTTAAACCACTGGAGGGAAAAACAACATGTTCAGCTCGTTTCAGTTGCTCTTTAAATGGCTACTCAACATTTGATCATTTTCTGACTGGGCAGGAAGACTATTTAGAATAAAGCCTGTATGCCAAAGTCAAATGTATTTGCCTTAACGGATAATTATGTCCACAATGATTGACGGGAATTGTTGATTTATCCAACTTCAAGTGCCTTGGTGTACTTATTTTTAAATCCAAAAATGTTGCTGCAATATTGTCAACCACTGCTACTGAATGTTGAACTTCTCCATGACGACACAATCAAAATTACACGGTGGCCTTTTTTTCTTAGTTCCCAAAGAAAATGATGCTAACGATAAATAAATACTCATGTCTCCTGATCAGGTTGTGTGTGCCGGCTCTATGAAATGTGTAGAAACTGAAACAGTTCAAAAACAAGAGAAGCCATAAACGTGCCACAGTACATTTGGTATGAATTATTTGTTTCCATTAGCCTCATGTTTACTGTGAAATTGCAGCATCAACAAGAACCCATCTTTTTTATTTTTCCTCTTACGGTGTTAATGTGTGATGCATTCAGTGTGTTATATGATAACATTGTAAAATGCAGATCTGATTGTTTGGTGTGCTTTAAGGTGCATAAGGAAAAACACATCCATGGAGCATTCATGCACTTAAAAAATGTTAACTTTTCAGTTTACGGTGCAGCTTTTTGATAATGTGTTAATGTTTAAATTTCCATATTGAGACTGTCGGACGGAGGTTTAAATAAGTGGCTTGCAGTTATTGACCAAAATACTGAGTGCTCCAGTCTGATCACAGCAAACCTCCACATTAACAACTCTTAGCCCACTGAGGCAAAGTAGTCAGTGTTTTGGACCGAGGTACCACAACACAGCTGAAAAAGAAAACATCAGTACGGTTTTTAACCGCCTATAGATGACTAACATGATTAAAAGCATAGCAAAATACTTTAATGTAACTACTACTGTATTGTTTACTTTATACATTGTTGCTTTGTTTACAACAGGTGCAACGTATTGTCACACTTTTACAGTTAATTCACAGCTAAAAAGATCTGGGTTTGAGACGTATCAGTATTATCTTTGTCAATGTCACAGTTTCCCATCTTCTCTTCCTTTACCTGATCCTCCATCTCACTTCTTTTCTTCATACCTTTCCTTTCCCCTCTCTGATTTTCTCTGCATGTCTTGGTGTCTCTGTCCAAAATGTCTCCTATTTTCATTCATTATCACCAACTTTTCCCCCATTCTTTTCTTCCATTTTGTTTTCAGCTTCTATCTTTTGCCCACTTCTCTTAACTGTATACTCGTCCCCTCTTTTCCTGCTTCTAAAGGTTTAGTTCTTCATTGTGAACAGAATCAAATACCTTAGTTATTAGTTGTTTTGACAATAGAAACAAACCTTTCAGTCATTTCCATTTTCCAGGTCTTAGGTTGAAAAAAACATGAATATGTGAGTGATGATAATTGATACTTATGTTGAATGTTCAAATTAAACTACAATTGAAACTATACTAACCGCCCATGTCTGTGTCTGAAATTAATTATAAGAAATTATATGAATAATCATTTTTTATTCTACTATTGTCTTTACAGAGTTTTTGTAAATTGTTATTTATCCTTTGAATTTTCTTTGATCTGCTGTCAGCATCATGTAGAGCATTGACTAAATGTCCTTTATTTTAATGTGGTTGATCAATTCTGTATAATTATAGCAATATTTACAGCTCCATGACGACAAAAGCATTTCCAAAATTAATAATTGAACTACATGTAATCAACTAGCATTTGGTAAAATAAAGCTGTGTTTGGGTCAGTGCTCTGGTACCAACAGGTTTGGCTTCCCTTGGGGCACACCCAGCAAAATCACTGTCTTTTGTAAATAATAATATTTTTTCTGTCACATAACAGACATATACAGTCGCAGCCATGTCGCCTCCATTTTTCTCTTTAGTTTCCTGAAATGAGTGAAACAGCGCCCCCCTGGGTTGTAACAGCCAGTAAACATCAGTCCGTGTGGTCAAACATGATATTGCACCCTTAACGAAGTCAACTGAGGAGAAGCCAGGTGAAGGTGATTACACTTGCTGAATGACAAATAATTACATCGCGGCCTCGTGCTACTGAGAACCCGTGAATAGACAGGCCTCTGGGACAGAAACTCAGAATTATATGATGAAGCCATTCATATTCTGACCTCACTGCAAACAAACAAACAAACATGTGGTGATATGGATACTTCACAAAAGAAAGGAGAACGGTCTTCGACGTCACATACACACCGTAGTGTGTCCGTCTGTCTCTTATTTGCTTGTGTTTATTCCCTGATGGTTGAAGGTGTGTGTTGGCTGTTTGTGTGGATTTGACTCCTCGCTGAGTTGTTGCTGCTGCAACACAGGAGTTCATATTTGTGCTGGATACATTATGGGCTTAAATTGCTTTGAATAATTTGCTATTTCTGCAGTGTTTCTTCAGGGCTTTATTTTTGTTATTTACAATCAAACCAATAGCTAATGTCCATTTTTAAAAACACGATAAACGTGTACATCTTATTATTGCTAACTGAACAGCTCTAATAAAGAGCACATTCTTTTTTTCACTAGCTTTAACAGTTGCCCTTATTTCAAAAGGTCAATGACTAATACAAACATTGTTAGTGATCTTGTTTCCAATATTATTCACATCTACACTGTGAATTATTGTACATGACTGCTTAAAAAAAACAGACGACAGTATGCGGGTCAAATGTATTTTATTTAACAAGAGCCTGAAGAACACGGTCACTGTTGAGTCAGTTAAAGTGTACGATGTCTCGGTCAAAGTGCACAGGAAAGCCATTCCCACAACTGATTGGAATATAGCTGGTGTATCGCCCACCGCGCTGTACTGACAATCTGGAGGCTGTCTGTAGACGTCGTTTCTCAGTCTACAGCAGGGGTCACCAACCTTTTTACGGAGAGCTACTTCAAGGGTACTGAGCAGTACGAAGGGCTACTTGTTTGATACAAACTTCCTGAATAACAAAGTTGCACAGATCACCTTTTAACAATAATATATGTGAAGAGACTGATCACATCTCTGATCCTTCTGTAACTTATGAGTTGCCTCTAGATAAGCTGTCCACTAATGCTGTTGGAAATGAGTCTACTGAAGTTAAATTGACCTGTCCTGTCACTGGGCCTGCTGGGCCTGACACACAGTTGAAGGTTGGCAAGGAACAGCTGATAGCAGCCCAGAAGGCTGACCCTCCTTTGGCCAAGTGTATGGCAGCAGTGTTGCCTAAGGATGAGAGTGGTGCTACTCATGCCACTTTTACTGGGAGGTTGGTATCCTCATGCGTAAGAGGGTTTCTTCTGTTAAAACAGCATGGTTTTGGATGACACCCTTATGGCTGTCATCTTAATCAGAATCAGAACCGTTTATTGCCAAGGAAGTTTGCACCTACAAGGAATTTGTCGTGGCGGGTGGTGCGTAACATTTAACAATAACATTAAACTATCAACAATCAACACAGTGCAAGAAATGGAAACGTATTAAAATTTACAATAAAATATAAAATAAAGTGCACAACAAAACAGATAACAGGACTGTAAAACAAGTGAAGTGTAAGTGAAATGTTAAAAGTGATGAGTGTGTTTAAATAAGGAAGGGAGTGTTACGTATGGTTCTATGTCCTGCTGTGAATGTTTGTGCTTGGGTGTGTGTGTATTCTGTGTCTTTTGACTTCTAGGTGCAGCTCCCTAACGAGTGATTGAGGGCACCTGGATGAGGATGTGGTTTACCTATATAAGCGCCTCCTTGCTCCGCCCTCGCTCTCTCTCATCTGCCTGGCACCAGACCCTGGTCTGCAGTGGGATTTGCACACTACAGTTTACTTGTGTCCTGTAAATAAACTGGCAGCTGTGGTTGTTTTTAACGTAACTTGGTGTTGTGTCCCTCCTATATGTTGCGACTCCCGAACCGGTCGTAACACTTCACCCTTGATATCGAGGTTACATCTGCTAGACCGGACAAGAGGAGGTG